ATCAACTCCAGGCACTCCGAGGAGCTCATCTCTGCTGCTTCAACCCGGGCTGCTGTTATCTCTACTGTCAAGGCCCCGTTAAAAATGCCCTCTGCCCCACAGACAGCCCACCCTTGAGCAGCCTTCCCTGTGAAGGTTAGGAATTGCTCTTTTGACAACCTCTGTCAGGGTTAATTGTTGAAGACTCTTGTGTGACTATTAGAAAAGTCGGATGAAGGCCAGCAAGTCTGTGCTCCACCTCGGGTGTGAGTCTTCCACGGAGCAGAAAAGCCTGCTTCTTCTCTGCGTAACAAAAAGAAGAGGGCCTTTTGTGGAATTTTTGAGGAACATAATTTGAGTTTATCTCCTTCTGCTCTTCTTTGCTTTTTTGTGTGTCACATGTAATACTTCAGGTTTTACCCTAGGAACTGCAGACTGAAGGGTGCAAGGCAGAGTTAAGAGCCTCAGGCAGTCAATAGCCTACGCAGGGAGGGACAAGAGGTGGCCACAGCAGAGTGGGCTCAGCTCGCGATCCTCTGCGGAGCACGCCGTGGGAATGCTTGTTCACAGGGAGTGTTCTAGCCAAGGGGCAGGGGAAGCTTCACAAAGATGAGAAAGCTTAAGCTGTCTTGAAAGATGAGCGTCTTCCGGAGCGGAATCTGCCTATCTAATTACAGCGCAGACATTAGTAAAGGCAGAGGAATGGCGGTGTCTGGCGGGACTGCTTGGGCTTGGACCGGGCTCTGCTGAGAGAGCAGGGATCCGGGTGGGTCAGCTGGTGAAGGGTCGGTGATGAGGAAAGGGCCACTTCAGCCCCGAGGAGAGTGGATTTGGGGGAAAGTAACAGGAAGTAAGAAGTTCTTACAGGTGTCCCTAGGTAAAGCGAGGATTTGGATTCCCACAGATATGGTTTTCATAGTCCTGTGTGAACTGGTCTAGTACAGAAAGCCAAAGGATCCAGTTCTTCATTATTTATGGAAAGATTAGAAGTTGTGCTCTGCAAGGTGTCAATTGGGTTTTAGATTTAGCGTTTTGGGTCTCTTATTGTAGCACTAAGGCAGCGCCTCCCAGAAATGGAGCCATTCCCTATACATTGAGATTAAAAAGCTATTTCATATTTTAAAGAGCAAGTCCACATGACTGTCCCAATGAACCCTTTGTTACTAGTTCAGTTAAAAAAATAGGAAAAAGCTTATCAAGTATAAAGTGTATTTCTTCTTTTAAGTTACTTCAAATGTAGTTTCTGCAATCATGTACTAAAGACCCACAAAGACACAAATAAATATGACTTTATTGCAGTACTTTAATTTATGTAAAAATATTGATTCTGTACTACTTTTTATATGACCTTTATTATGTAATCCCTAGGTTTATGTTTGGGGAAAAAATACAATGAAATTGTGAAAACTCCAACTGTGTAACTGTAGTGAATATATCCGGTGTATATTTTCCATGTTATTACCCCGTGTGAATTTACTATCGAATTCATATTCTTGAAGAAAAGGTAGAATTCAGATCACAGAACATGATGAGAGCACCGCAGGAAAAGGTGTGCGCTGTTGTTTAAAATTCAGCTTGTGCACCTCTTTTCCAAGCTATTAATAGGCTTGAGAAAAACAATATAAGCAGTTTCTCCTGAATAGAAGCAAGTTCAAGAGAATAGACTTCCGTCAGAACCGGCTGCTGGTGGGGAAGAGTTTGAGAAGCTGGATTCCAACAGTCTTGTGAGAAACTGGGAAAGAGGAAGCAATTGACCCTCCCCGCAGTCCCTGATCCTAGGTTTACTCTCTTTGGAGTTTAGAGGCAGCTGCCAAGTTGCGTCTACTGCAGCTGTCTGGCCGCCCGGGCCCCCCTTCCCGCCGAGGCCTGCGTCAGCGCTGGCCATGAGAGAGGAAGCAGCTTGGAGAAAGGATTGTTTACCTCTTGGGTTTAACGCGGAGCTGCAAGCCTCAGAGCAGTGGGTTGGAGTGTAGCTGCAAATCTGTTTTGTGTGCATTCGCAATTCCCCAAAGAGTGGCTTGGCAAACAGCAAGCAGCAAGCTCTATCACTTTTGGGGGGGTGGTAATTATGAAAAGTCAAAGATATACTTTAAAGTGAAGAAAACGTGTCTATGTTCGCAGACCTATCTAAGTTCTGTGTGAGTGAGATTAAATAAATAAAGTGACTAACCAACCCCGACGTAGTCCTGACGGCATCCTCGAGATTGTAATCTAAGCAGAACCCTGGGGATTTCCACAGATTGGGGATGGGAGCAGACAGCACGTTACAGTCATCACAAGTTGTTGTTGTTGCTATTTCTACTTTTTCCACTCACAGATCATAGTTTACTTGAGGATAAGGACTGACCGCACATATGAGAAGAAAAGCCATTGACCAGCTTCCTGCGAGCAGTTCTCTGCCTCGGCTAAATAAATCTCCTGCTGCTTTTCAGTGGGGACGGGCTTGAGAAAGGTGTTGTGGAAATGAGGCCAGAGCCTCTCAGCCATGTGTACTTGGCCCAGAAGTAAGCAGAAGGAAGAAGGGAGAAGCCAGCGTCCACCGGCAGGGGTGGGCCTCAAGTTCTGCCTTATTCTCCACACAGGAGCGAAGTCAAATCAGTCAGACACACAAGCTTCAATATCACACAGTTTCTCTTATGTGAGAAACACAAAGTACAAGTAAATTTTTTTGTTGTTTTTTTTTCGGTACCGAGAATCGAACTCACGACCTTGCACGTGCCAGGCAGGTGCTGTGCTGCTGAGCTAAATCCAGCCCCTAGGTACAAGAAATTAAAGAGCAAAGCAAAAGGTAGATAATAGGAAACAGAGAAATTGAGCTTGTGCAAGGGAAGGGGCCCTAGGGATGGAGAGGGGACCGGAAGGAGACAGAGAAAGAAGGAAGCTGTGTTGTGTCCGTGTACGCGCTCCCCACAAGGAACATGAGCGCTGTGTGCTGCAGACGTGTTCCAGGGAGAATAAAAACTTTAAAAAAGAAATCCAAGAGTCCCGCCTAATGCCATCTTTAAGTTTTGAGATACGCAGGGAGGAAAGGTCCTTCTACTGGGAAGCAAACCCACTTGTCCTGAACATTCGGACAGCACTCCATACGCACATTTGAAAACAGGAGAGGTATCAGCCAATAAGATGAGATACAAATGCGAAAGATTTGAAGAGAACAAACAGGATTCATTCACAAAGAAAACAGTATCATGTTATAGGAGTAGAACTCTAAGATACTTGTTAGTTTAGGTTTAGTTTTCTTTTAAATGTTAAAAAGTCTTCTGTCAGGTCCTTCTGGGTATGGGAGGTGCTGAGTCCCTTCATCAAAAGAAGAACGGGGGTGGGGGGGCTGGGGGGATTTAGCTCAGCGGCAAAGCGTCTGCCTGGCAAGCGCAAGGTCGTGAGTTCGGTTCCCAGTACTGGAGAAAAACCAAAAAAAAAAGAAGAAGAACGGCTTTTCCCCGTTTTCTTCTGAGCTTCCCAGAATGTCGGTCTGCACCGTGCTGCTTTTTTGATTTCTGTGACTTTACCCTTTCATTGTCCCAAATGATAAACAGCATTTGCTGTATTTCATTTTAAATTTTAATTCAGTTAAAGCCGACTCATTTAAGCAGCCATTTAAGCACTTTGAACAAATAAAAAAATACCGTCAGTGACATAGCTTGGACTCAGAAAGTATAGGGCATAAAAATATCCAGAAATACCCACACTGGCACACTGGGGCGGATTCCCGTCGTCTTTGAATGACAGTGTTGGGAAAGCTGGGCTGGAGACTGAGATCACTGCGGGAGACAACGGGAGCTTGGCTTAGAAGTAGGGCCTGTACTTTCCCGCTTTCAGGTCGCTCAGAGAACTGATGTGACCGGATGTCCATCCTGGAGCCACCTCTTAGCTCTGATTCTCTGATCCCCACAGAAGTACTAACTTCCTCCATGTGCTAGTGGTAGCCGCCACCTCATGGGCCATACTTTTAGAAAACATCATTAATGCATCAGGATATGAGTGACCTCAAACTGCTCCTTCCGCAGGAGCCTCTTACCCCTAGGTAAGCTTGCGCTGCAAAGTGGACAGATTTTAGCAGTGCCCTTTTCTGTTTCCTGCGTCCTTGCTCCATGGCTGTGTTATTTATTGGTACTGTCTGGTAGGTGAATTTGATACTGTGACTTCCTTGCTTCTGCCCTTTGTCACACCAGCCATGAGGGTAAATGGCAGTGCAGAGCGTGTCGCTGTGTGCCGTGTCTTTGGTTGATAATTGATGGAATATTTTATATTTCTTGAATCCTACCTCAGTACATTGCCAGAAACTGCTGGATTTCACCTGTGCAGTTTTTCAAAAAAAATTAACTGAGGAGTTCCAAGAAGGGTTCATATTTTCTTATTATTTCTGGCTTAATAAAAGGGAAGAATATAAAACAGCCAAGACCAGAGCACCTGTAACCGGTGTTGCCGGAAATTACGACCCTGTTAGTTTGACATTTTTTTGGTGGTCAAAGAGTCTAATTATTAGGCTGTTAGAATCTTATTTAAGTACTCATTAAATGTGCTACCATTTAATAGGCTTGCCTGATCATTGTGAGTCTTTGGAAAATTATTTTTCAAGTCTTGTATTTTTCCATTGAATACCTCAGGAGCAGTGGACTTTGAGCAGCTGATCTCAGTGAGAGGGAAAGAATATTGCTGTGTGTGTTTAGAAATTATAATAGTTCTCAGCTGACCCTAAGGTAGTAATGCAGATTTTAGAGGTTTTGTTTTTGTTTTGACTTGTTTTTGATTCTGTTTTGAGATAGGACCTCACTATGTAGTTCAGGCTGGCCTTGGACTCGCTGCATAGCCTAGACTGGTCTCACACTTGTAGCAATCCTCCTGCCCCAGCCTCCTGAGTGCCGGGATTACAGGTATCTACCACCAAACTGGCAACTTCTGGAAAACAAATGTGGAAAAAGGATTTGAGATTGGAAAGAAGAGGCATCAAGGATAAAATGGGAGATTATTTTCTCTTTAACTTTTGAAAATAAACCAACTTTTACACTAAAAATGAAGTCAGTGGAAACATGTAAATTTTATGTATAATGGAAAATTCAGGTACTCTCATGGTTATAAAGAAAAGACCTTTTACCTTAATGTATTCACCTTCAAACTCTAAGTGATTAATAGATCTTAAGGTCAAATTTGGTATTTTTCCTTCCATATGGTTAGGTTGAAAGACTTCTTGTTGAATGTCGTTTTTCACAAAGCTTTCAATGCATCGATTTGGATCTCTCATTCACTTTGGACCAGAGGAAGAAAACCTATCATTGGCTATTCTGCTGAAAAGCAAGGACTTTACCTTTTTGCTCAGCACCTAAACTCACCCGAAGTCTCCTGCTTACTAATTGAAGGAGCTGTAAATGTAACCCACGCCCAGTCATTTCAGAGCCTATTTTCCCCACTACACATCTGCTTACATATTTTTCATTATAGGCCTAAGTACTCTTCTCCATGGTATTTCCCATTTAAAAATGTCAAGAGTGCTATTGTTCTGGAGGCTGAAACTCCAGATGGGCCTTGGGTGCCCCCTGCTTTCCTGCTTACACCTGAGAACGTGCTCATCGTGCTTGCGTTTCACGTCTGAACAGTAGATGCCTTTGCTTCCTCTGCGGGAACTCCGGTATATGGCTCAAAGCTGTGGAAGATGAGAAACACACAAACATACCCCAGCAAGTACACGAGTATATAACTAACAATTTTTGGCATGAATGTCTTGGGATTCAGGATGTTCCTTTCAATACGGCCGGGCTGTTGGGTTTCGCCTTATACCTCGTGTTTCGCGTCACAGTCTCTTCAAGGGCTGCTCATACACTGTCACCGTACTGTACAGTGTGAGGCATGGAGAAGCTCTCTTCGTGATGTGTACCAGCTGCCTGTGACAGTTAACGACCTCGTCCCTCCAGCTGTTCTCTGCAAATGTCTTGGTGTGGTGACTGCATTATTCCTTAGGGGCTGCCTGTTTTTCTCAGACCCACCTACCAACTTCCACTTTGTGTTAAACATGGACCCCACGTTGTCATTACGTTTCGTTCCTCTACCCCAAAGCACAAGACAAGGAACAAGACAAGTGAGGTGCCCCTGAATCCCTGACTTGCGCCTGTGTGTCTAGGCCTGGCCTGGTTTAACGTGGAGGATGCTGCATCACAGTTACCTTCCCTCCTGAGCAAGCCAGGACTGCGGAGAGCCCTAGTTGATGATTTCTGTGCAGCCTGGGTAACTTAGTCCTGCACTGGTTGGCCGCACAGAGTCTACCCGAAGGGCACTGAAATCCAGGGTGCTGAGTTTGCCCGCGACTGAGGGAGTTGTCCATTTCCAGTATCTCCCCAAACGGAGCTTGAAGGTTCATTAACACTTTACATCTGGCTCTCCCTCACATGTGTGCTAATTAGCTCATACCTGGTTGTTTTTAGTTCGCAGCTCTTCAGTTAAGTACTGCTTCTAGCTCTGCCCGGTGAAGAAAGTCTTCCGAGCTGTGCAACTCTTCCCCAGGCTGGACACTGAGATGTACTTGTTGCTTAAGATTTCTCTGCTACCACATAGCGTGGTATCAGCCTTCTGTGGCGGTTTATAATCTCGTGGCAGTCTTTTTAAAAGTTTGCCTGTTCCCAGATGGCAAACTCAGACTCCTCACGCCGTCTGCTGGGCTCCCCGAGTGGAGCATACAGCCACGTGTGGGGCGCTGGAACGGATTTTCACGTTACTGTCCCCACACCCATGTGTCTTCTCCTGATGCTGCAGGAGTGCTCCGTGTTAGTTTAACTCCTTCACACTTACGTCTGTCTCCACAGAAGCTCCCGTGGGAATGTAGATCCCCATCAGAGAATAACTTTATGGATCATTGGTGGTTGCGCCGGTTTAGGGGAAATGTGGCAAGCTCGGGGGAAGTGCAAGCTTGATTCGTCTGAATTGCAAGTGTTCCGATCCGCTAGGACAGTGTGGAGACAGCAAGGGCTGGCAGGGGCTGGGCAGCTGGGCACAAGGTGAGAGGAGGGATGGAAAGGAGCCCGCCTCCTAATCTGTGTGACCTTTCTTTCCTTAGCCTGTTGCTTAGGGAGTGAGTGAGGACCAGGGCCTGGCGGTGCTCCTGCTCCCGCCCTTCCTCAGTGCCCAAAGCTGTGAGGAGACCCACGTTGCTCCTGCACAGCCTGCGAGCGACGCCCTCTGGAGAGTGAGGCTCAGTAGGAGAAGCAACCCGCAGAAAAGGCACTGACACAGCTCTATCCCGGATATTATCCGTGCTGTGTTTTCTCCTAGTGACAACACAGACTCTTTGAACAGTTTCCAGGCCTCGTACCTGAACTGTTCTGGAGGGCCTGGGCTCGGCGGTGTTTGGCAGGAACTGGCTGCACGGCCCTCAGACAGATTCTCACCAGTAGTTCCTCACAGTCAGGAACCTTTGCTGGTTCCTTTGCAGCTGGTTCCAGTTGCACAGATCCCTCTTTTCTGGCTGGTATCTGGCTTCAGCTTCTCAGACTCTTCTTTTGGCCAGCTACCAACTGCTTGAGCCTGGCAGCGCACTCCTGGACTCACACACTTTCTGTCTCCAGTGCAGTATTGGGCTCAGTGATACTGAGGCGAGACTCACCTGGAGAGTTTAATAAAAGTGCAGATTGAAAGTCTCCACCCCGAACTTACTGAGTTGGAATCTCCAGAGGAAATTTCCTCCGTACTGCAGTTACAGAAGTATCACCCCCACTCTCTCGCTAAGGGATCTCATCCTGAGCCGTACCCTTAAGCTTTGACTGGTCTTGCGTGTGCCATGACTTGCAGGCTCCACTGCAAGTCAGGCTGAGGCTCCAGTCTTGCATGCCTTGTTGCCCTTGGTGGCTCCTCCTGGGTGCATCCCAGGCCCCTCAGACTTGTAAGCAGAACTTTCAGTGTCGCCTCATTGCCGTTTGTGCCACAGGCTTCCAGCTCTCCACAAGTGGGACTGTCGTTCAGTCTCTTAGGTGTCATTCCTTCCTTCCTCTGTGCGCATGAAGTCTGGCTTCAAGACTTTGTCTGATCTCCCTGGAAGTTGCGCAGGTCTAGGGGAAGTGATGCCATGGTTTCATAAATCCGCCTCTTTAATGATACCATGGTTTCCTCTGCTTTTTTTTTTTTTCCCCACCCCATCTCCTGTACTGTGGTACAACCTACCGCACATCTTAGGTGGCTTCTGGAAGAGCTTTCTGAGTGGTCAGCTGCTTCATGTCTACCAATTTGTCTCTGCTTAGGAAGGAGCCAGTATTGTCTTTAAAAAAAAACACTATGCATATTCTCCATGGAAACCGTACCCTAGCTTCCCTCTTTGATTCAAATTCAGCTCAGCATCTTAACAGTGTGGGGAGAGGAGCAGAGCACACTGGCTCCAGGTCGCCCTGCCGTCCACACCTCCTTCACTGCACTCTACCCTGTCCCGGGCCACTTCCGGTGTCCTCACTCGGCTCCCTGAAGCTCACCGAGCCTGGGAACCCTTGTGGCTGCAGTGGCCTCTGCCCCAGAGCACACGTGGGCCTGGGCCTGGCCGTTCCTATGATGAGTCCCTTGCTCACTTCCGGGATGGAGTCCGGTGAGTTCCTCCTCCCCTTTCCTCCCTATGGTCCTTTCAGCGCATCTTCCCGTCCCCTGTAGCGCTTGGCTTGTTGTGATTATTTATTTACTCTTTTCTCGAGATCAGACACCCATGAGTAAGTGTGGCTGTTTCTACCACACTGTGCCCTACCTCACAATAGGCACATTTATTAAGAGAATTATGGTTTAGGTTTTTCTTCCTTTCCCTAACGTAGGGCCAAGAACTGTTATATATGACGCAGAATTTGGGTGATATTTAAAGATTTATTTAATATTGAAAGTGTGAACCAAGAGCTGCAGCTGAACATGGAGTTGTGAGATTTAATCCCATTTTATTCTATCTCTCCACTACCAGGGATAGATTGGGATAGACTATCCTCTGTTGGGATAGATCATCTGTGAATGTTTAACATTAGCTGACCAACATTTACCTCCTTTAGTTATATCAATCATTGTGGAATGTTGGTACCACAAATTTTAAAAAACTTCCATATTTCAATTACAGTAACTGAATTTTTTCTTTGGTGTGGAAAAATGACAACATAGACTTGACCAGAACTACAGAGATAAGATAGACATTTCTTCACATACTCTGGTTTGAAGGAGGATATAAAAATAATCCAGACAATATTCGTTAACTCTTGATTAGTGCCCCCTCACTTGGCCATTTTGAGCCCTGTCCCTCCCCCTGGGGTTCTGTTGAGTCACCTGGGTGTGAAAGAGTTACAACATTACCAGATGTCAGTGTTTGAGGGCTGTTGCATCAGTTTTGTATTAAACATGGAACCTTTCGATGTAAAAGTCATTCTTTCCCTCTAGAAGGAGCAGAGAACTTCATGTCAAAGCTGATTCTTCTACCACTCTATGATAACATGATTTCATTGCTAAACAAAAATATTTGTGATTTCTACCTCATTATTACAGTAAGAAGTTACAGGAACCGAAAAGCTTTTCTTCCATTTGCATCCTTGGGATATGAAATAATAGGGATTTGTAATGTTGTCTTGAAAAAAGGAGTAACCAAATCCGATGTGAATTTGGGACACATCCGATGTGTCCCGTGGCAGATAAAAGTGTTTAAAAACAAAATGATACATTCTTGGCAGAAGTTGGAATGGCTTGTTCAAACCTGGTGGGCCCAGGCGGAAGGCCTAGCTGGCCTTTCTTCATTGCCAGTGAATTACGTGATGCTGGGTATCGGGTGTCACTTCATGTTTTTATCATTGCAGTACAGATTTGCTTGCTCAACTTTTAGATTAGTTGCTTTTGTTTCCTCCTTTCTTATCTCGCTATTTTCACCTTCCATGCTTGGCTTATTTTGGTTAAGTGGTGCAAACATTAAGTAACATTTATTGATGTTGGCATGCAGTCCACAACCCCTTGGTGAGCGGCCTTTCTCCTTGTTACCTTATCTGACACTCCTTTCACTGTAGTTGTGCTATTTTTCCAACATGGATTTTAGTGAAAAATGGAAGCCATAGTGTTTAATCCTCCAACTGCTATTTTTTCGTACTAGAAGCTTTCATTCTACATCTGCAATACCACTAGCAAGTTAAATGCTGAATATCACTTGGATTGTGGCCTCGTATGAGTCATTTGCCTTTTGAACAAGGTGTGTCCGATGCTGGAAAGAAATCATAGCAAGGGCTACACTGGAGTGCCAAGTGTTTTAGATGGAGTTGCTACACCAAACCTAAAGCGTTTTTTCAACCACTAAGATTAAGAGTAATTAACATTTAATATGCTTCAACGTATTTGTTTATGAAGTCTCCATGAAAACTAACATTTTAAGCTTGTGTATCAGGACTCAGATTAACCTCTTGATCTTTCCAAGATTTATCTTTGTTAGATTTGTCTTTTCTCAACAGAAACCTTTATATTTACATTTAGGTATTATATATATGGCTTTTAAATAAAGTCATTGTACGCCTGGCAGCAGATGATCCCATGCTAGGCCTCTCCTTGTTACCGACAGAGTAGACTCATTTGGAGGAGAAGGAGGACAAACTCAATGCCATTTCTTTATACAAGTGATTGGTTTGGGAGTTTGGTACTAGAATGTTCTCTTAAGTGTATATGCTTAAACAGAGTACATTTTCATCAACAGTATTATTTCAGTGACAGGGAAATACCTTGGAATTACATCATTATCATCAAAGCCAGTACAGTGTACAAACTATTCAATTTTATTTTTTACCTCTCATGTCTTTTGTTTTGTTTTGTTTTGGTTTGGTTTATTCTCTGGTACCAGGAACCGAACTCACGACCTTGCGCTTGCGAGGCAGGCGCTTTTGCCGCTGAGCTAAATCCCCAGCCCCTCTCATGTCTTTCTGATCATGTAAAAATACCCACATTTTCAAATTATTATATAATGTTCTGTGAGCGTGTCTCTTGGTTGACACTTTGGTATTGATGCCCTTCCATGTACTTGAAAATATATACGTCAGTAGTTACTGTGGTTGTAGTTATTCCAGGTCAGAAAGAAAGCACCTGTGGGCAGTGCGTGGCCAGCACTTCTGCCAGGAAGCCTGTGGAGAAGCAGAGGGATGCGCAGCCCCTTTTCCTTCCTTGCACTTGCACAGGTTTATTCTCTAGTTGAGAGACTTTGCACACAGACTGCACAGCCGCAAACCCTCCACATTCCAGCTGCTCGTGTTCACATATTGACACACTCTTGGGGGAGTCACTGACCCTTAACCCTGGGGTCGAGGGGCAAAGGTAAACGGTGTCTCTCATTGCTTTTGACTCCATATTTTTATTAAGACTGCCTAAGGTTGCTTTAGCTGATTCAGCCATTGTAAATAAACTGTAAAGGTGAGTTTAGGTATGTTACGGTGCAGATTTTTCTGCAGCATGTCTTTCCCTTCCGTGTCGGGCTTCTGAAGCGCACATGAGCTGGTGTGCTTTATGCGTGTGACAGGCAGTGATCCTGCCTTGCATGGATGTGCTGCTCCCATCCGTCCCTTCCTTCCCTGGTGGACTTGTGAGCGGCTTCTGCCCTCGCTGTGACACACAGTCCTCCAGCGAACCGCACAGCACCCTGCTAACAACCGACCCCAGAGTCTCATTGCTAGAGTTTGCGAAGTTACTGGATTTCTAATTGTCTTTTGTGAGTCGGTATTAGCATATCTCCCTGTTACTCTAATTTACATTTGTGGTAGAGTGAAATTGAGAATCTTTTCAAGTTGGTTTTCTGGAAATGGCCAATACATTCCCTCCCAACAGAAAATCTAATCCTGGACATAAAATCCAAATGGAAGGAAGGGGCAGGAACGGGATAGGAGAACAGGACTTAGCTATATTTCCTTCTTTAAGCAACACAAATTAAAGAAAACTTTGAAATTTTTCACCGGTTAAGTCTGTGTGATGAGTAGCTTCTTATATTTTGTCCTTTGCATACTATCTTTTGGTATTTCATAATTTATAAAAAAGAAATGGATGTTTTCTCACCACCCCAAGATTCAGCTTCTTGGGCTGGTTAGACACACTTTCCTACCTTCTTGTTTCTTTGTGTACTGTTTCCTTGGTGTCTCAAGAGTGGTAGCAGTAGAAGCAGGTGGTGTGTATCCTGTGTCCTGCAACACAGACTGAAAGACAGCACCGTAAGACAGCCTTTCATAGACAATCACTTTAATACAGGTAATGATTGTGACAGCACTGCTCTAAATATGCTTGACCAGGAAAATTAGTATCCACGTGCTGCTAAAAGGAAAAAATTACCTGTAGCAGTATCAGAGTGTTAAAAGTGCAAATAGTAAAATTAAATAATAATGCCACCCAATTCATAAGGAAGAAGCATGCAAGTAGATTTGGAAAGAAATAGGAGAAAGGGGAAAACTATCATTTTCTGACAAGAGAAGGTGACTATGGTAGGATAATAAGGCAATAAAATACCCTATAGAATATTGTATTTTATATGCTGTACTAAACATGTTACCAAAACTAATTATAGATCGTCCGCAACTTATGACAGTTGGATATAATGATTATTGAAATCATTAACTAAAGTGACATTCAGCAGAAACCAGACCTCAGATTTTGCGCTCTACTCTTTCTGGCTGATGATGCGTGGTACACCATTGTGCTGCCTTTGGGTGCGCAGCACCAGCTGGCCAAGCTCCCAAGGGCATGGGTAAGCAGCTGTCTACAGGGCACTGGTGCCAGTGGGTTTCAGTGCAGATATGCACCGAATTATTGAGATACCCAACACTCTGCGATCAGAAAGGCTCCATGCTGGGTGGATTTACCCAGCTGTATGGTAAGTGAGGTGTGATACGCACACTTAAGGCAGGTGAAGCTACGCTGTGTGATAGATGAGGTGTATAACATACATTTCCAATTTACTGTGTTTTCAACTTACAATGAATTTATCAGAGTGTAACATCTTAATTGGAAAGGCATCTGTATATCATTAAAATTTTACTCTTATGTAGTATA